AAAGTAAAAGTATTCATTTTTTTATATCTTAATCTAAAATACCTATGAGAACATCCAGTGCGGTGTCGAACGATAGATGACATCTTAGTACAGCGAGCTTCAAGTGATCTGCAAGTGAAAAATTCCTTTTCAGAGCTTTCAGAAAGGTCTCTAAATGTTCCTTTCTGCGTTAATAATTTTGAAAAAATTATGATATTTGTAGTCAGCATAGAGTCCTGCGGGACAGTTCCGAAAATTTTTTGGGACGGGACTAACGGGATCGGAACAATTCGAAAAATAATGTTGTCCCGAAATTGTTGAGCTTGTATATCGAAATCCGTTGTAAACTTTAATTTTCATATTGTTCACAAACATTTTAGTATTTAAATAAAAAGTGTCAAAGAAAAACACAAAAAAAACAAGCCACGAGATACTTTAATATTTGTCTATTATCATTCTCTTTATCAGCGATTTTACCTCTAATGCCATTTAAGCACATCGTCTTATTTGGTTAACGCACTTCACCGATCAATTAGTGTATGGATGAGAGCAAGAGTGTATTACAATTACAGTTGTACTTTATATTAATCTATTTTTCTAAACTTCGCTACAGGCAGATAAATACTTTTTAATATTCAAAGTTCAGATATTTCGCTCGATCTATAGCAAACTTTAAATTTTATCCGTATCTGAACGTTTTTTTCTGATTGGCATTGTATAGTCAATAATACTTATCAGAAATTTATAAATCATCTCATAATCATAGATATGAATAAATTGTTTCGATTGAGCGTATATAGAAGACACGTACTGCTATTGAACAAAACCACATCTTTATTTTTTTCCGTTTACGGGACAAACGGGATTCGAGACATAGAAAAGTTTGTCCCGCAGATCTCTACTATTAGATCTAAATATCCGACAAAACAAGACGAATGCACCGTCTTGTAATACACTTGACATTTTTTTTACAGTGGAATTTTTTCATCATCATCTATAGTTTATTCTAAGCTGACCTCTATTGCAATAGTTTATTTCTATTGGTCAAGAATCTATGGAAAAATCACTTGCAACGTTAGATGAAGCTGTCACCACGTCGTATATTTTTTAAATATAAATCTTCTATTTCATGCCTATTAACGAACAAATTCGAACAATATTTGTAAAAAAATCATGTTTAACACAATCATCTTCTTCGTCATCTGTGCATCCAATTGGAAATAAACAGCATTCATATTCATGTTCTTATTGTTCAAAATTATTTTCTTCACCAAGTCATTTATCTCGACATACTCTTATACATACAGGTGAAAAACCTTGTCTTTGTTCGGAATGTGGTCAACAATTTAGTCAAATATCATCATTAGAACGTCATCAACGTACAAAACATGAAAAAAATAAAAAATTTCATTCATTAAATAATCATTTATATCAATGTAAACTTTGCCATGAATATTTTTCATTAAAACATAATTTAAAAATGCATGAAAAAAAACTACATCAAATACAAACAAATTTCTTCTGTAATATATGTTCAGCTTATTTTACTTGTAATTCATCATTACAAAAACATCGAAATTTTCGTCATCGATCATTAATTAAAAATCAATCAAAAAATGATAAAATTGAACAAGCAAATATATCTAATGATATGTCAGATAATTGGACATTAACACAAAATAATCAAGTAAGTCTAAATAGAATGAGTGTTGAGTCTATAAATTTTAGCTCCGACGAGCTCTAGAGCTCAGCAACATTATAATCGAAACTGGTCACCTTTGTCCTTTGTTTCATACGGAAACAAACTATCCTCCAACAGCGGGGTAACCAGAAATTTTTTATCCAACAAAGTACTGATAACGTAAACAAAACGTTAAAAAAATGAAATGAGATTCTTTTAATTGAATATACATCAAACTGAGATATTAAGCCTGAGTCAGATGTGTTTTAGTCTATTTTTAATGTCTCTGTTTATAACGTTTATATTTGAAAATCCAACACTAAAATCCCAACGAACTAGGTCATTTCATATTTTGGTTCTTTTCCTTTATGCTGTCACATATACATCATTGGATTTTTCCTTTCTCTTGTATATGCCATATATGTGTTCTCTTCTCTTTGATCTATCCTTCTTTACTTTTACGTGGTAAGCGTGTTCTCAATAAAATCGAACTCACGTTCACCTAAACTTACAGTTAAGATAGAAGAAACAATTCTGC